TGGGAGAAGGGAGAGAGAGGAGGGAGAGAGAGGAGGGAGAGAGAGGAGGTGTAGAGTGTGAGAGAGAGAAGGAGAGTGAGCAAAAGAAAATGGGGGAAGAGATGGAGAGAGAAGGAGAGATATGTAGACGGATGCAAAGAATAAGAAATGGAGAAGGAAAGATAAGAGACGAAAAAATAAAATGGGAGATACTGAGGGAATACTAGAAAGCACAGAGAAGAATAGTGTGATTAAGTGATAAAAAGAGATAGATAAAGCACCGACAGATATTATCACTTATTCCCAATTATCTGTTGTTATTGTTCCTACTGCATTTACACTGATTCAGCTCCGTCTTTAAGTAAACCTTTCTTAAAGCTTTTCAATCAACATTCTCATATTGGCCCACATCAAATATTGGACATCAAACATATATTGACTTAAACGCTGCGTTTGATCTGTATATTGCGTTTACTTCCGCCCAGGCGACAGTCAAGGATATGTTATATATATATACATATGTATTAAAGCTCCTTCCTCAATCTGATGGCATATTTCGAACAGCAGCAGATCTTTTTGCTTTTATTTATCAACACGCCCGAAGGATCTGCACACAGCAAGGCGCATCGTGTGTTTGTCGTGCTGCTGTCAGCCACTGTTAACATTATCCTGCTGATTATTGTGCATGAAAAATGGCCAGCCGGCAGAAGGCTTCGAGTAAGAGTGAATTCCGCTTTAAGGACGCCAATGCAGAGGCAAAAGAAGGGCAAGGGCCGAGGGCAGTTCGAGCTTTTGACCAGATTATATTTGCATGCATTTATCGATATACGCGTCATTTCGCTGCTCTTTTTAATAAATTTCGGATTTATGCAGCGCAACAGAAAACAACAACAACAACAACAACAACAGCAAGGAAGCAGAAAGGTTCTGTCTACTGACCCTAGGCTCTGTCCCCGCAGCGCATTCAATTAACAGCGCACATAAATTTACTTTGGCCATAATAATGCAGCTGAGTCCTGGCCAAGGATACACAGGCTTCATATTCTGTTTATTTAAAGCAGCGCATCTCCCATGTACCAACGGCAAACAGTACGTACGTATATGCGATACGAGCATTTCCATAAGGACAACACGGGCGACGGCTTAAGTTGCGCCGCATAATTTATTGGGGGCCAGGTCGTAGCTCTGTGGGGCAGGTCACAGCCGTCGATGCAGGACACATATGAAAATGGCGTTCTAATTACTTTAAGCTGCCAGACGGCTGACCCGATCCGACCCAGACGCCGACAAGGCTGCCCCCCAAACATATGAGTCCTGCAGCGATTATTGCCTGTTTGCCCAGCCCAAGCCAAGGATAGCAAACACACACACACACACGCACACGCACACACTGCCACCTCTGCATGTTGACACAGCCTTTGTTGTGGGCAGTCGAGGCTCGTCTATTAGCTAACCCCCACACGCAAATCTCAGCCCCGCTCCAAAACTAATTGCAATATGGCATTGCATCCCGTTGCTGGTCCGACAGGAGGCGTGCGCCGACGCATCCTTGTGGCCATCAACATCCTGACAGCGCTGTCATGTTTGGTAGCACGCTTCTCCTACACCCAGGCCGGCGTTTGACAAGCTGACAACATGCAAGGGCGCCTATTGTCTCAGCCAGGCCGCACATCCTTTGAATGCTTGTGCACGCATCACTGGCAAGGACATGCCAAATTAAAATGCAATAAAAGCGTTAATGAATTTGTGCAGACTAGGCAGCGCTGCCGAATCGAGAGACCCCGGCAGTAGGCCTATTTAATGAAGTGCTCAGTGGCAAGAAGCCTAGCACATAGGGGTCAAGCCCATTAAAAAGGGGTTCAAGCTGTTCTAGTTACGCTCAGTCAAAGTTATTGAAAGGGGTATATTAACTGTATGAATTTGTATGTAATATATATATTCCTTTCGATTTTCCATACCTCCAATTATCAACATCAATGTGAGAACTATCCATGCCAGTCTAAGATAACTTCGCAAAGTCCAAAAGAGTTCAAGTCTTCAAATACTCCTACTAAAATAAATTTATACTAAGGAGTATCTAGTTAGTCAGTCATTCATTGACAACTGCGGCACTCTTTCCGCTCGCTTTGTTGGCTTGGTCAAAAAGTGCCGTTGATATTTCAATGTGTTGTCATTTTTGACATCGCTGACTAATTCCCTAGCCCCTACTCTGAGCCCCACTCTCACCCTTTGGCCGCATGGACAGCAAAAAAAAAGAAGGCAGCTGTCAACATTGTCCATCAGTTTGCATTACACTTCCTGCTCGAGTGCCGTAACGACTGCCAACCCTTTTCATGCCCCGCGGTTCCACTTGCTGCCCAAAAGGTCAGCGCGTCGGGGAACGGGGCCAGAGGGGTCGCCTAATTTAGTGGCGCACAATGTTAAGGATATTTAAAGCAAATGAGTGCACATTTATAATGACAACAAGGACAACAACGACAGCGACAACAAGGATCGTGCGCTCCTCCTCCAGAACTTATAGCAATTTATATGACAGTGTCATTAGTTCGGTTTATGCAGCAGATGACAAAGCAGCCAAGAGATGCACAGTAACGAGCCAGGCCGTTCGCAAGGGGTTGACATGATTATCAAATACCCTAAGAAGCAATAAAGTGACTGAAATTTTTTAGAATTTTTGTATGATAATACAACGGAATGCAGTTTAATTAAAATGTATGTAGAACCCATGCATATTTCAAAAGATATTCAAATGCTGACTTGAAGAGAAAAACACACTGAATTTAATGAAATAAAATATTTAAAAATCAATATATAATGATGAGTATAATAAATATTTAAGGAATTAAAATGTATTTCAGCATACTTATATTATATTTTAGTAATATTATATTATATTATTTATTATTATTATATTTTAGTAATTTTATATTATATTAATTATTATTATATTATACACTTTATACATATATGTATACAGAGCTTTCGTCCAAAGAGCTATTAAATATTTCTACATAGCGTATTTCGATTACCTATCAAGCCAGGTTCGTTTTGTAAAAGCTCCACAGTTTTGTTTCATTATGCCCCGACAATTATTTGCATTACCCTCTCATATATATATTTGTATATATATATTATATATTAAATATAGAAAAAGGAACAGCTACATCGCAAATTAAGGCATGACAAGAAAAAATGCGCACAGCTGAATGAGTTTTGGTTTTCGCCTCGTTATATAATATACTTTTTTTATACAAATTGAAAAAGGGACAACGAGAGATGGCATAAAAGCGACCGACGACGAGGACAACAGCCGGAGGACATTTGGTTTTTTTTTTTTTCATTTTTGGCAGACGTTACCCTAATGCATAATCAGGTTTAAAAATGACAACAGCGAAAATAATAACGGTCCCGAAAGTGCCAACGGAACAAAGGCAATCAGACGGCAAAATGTATACAAAATTAACGCTTCCAACATTCAGTAATCAAATTTAATCGAGAACATTTTCTATTGTCTTTCATCCATTACAGTTGTATCTCATTTTTATTGAATAAGAGATATCCCAACTAGAATGTTTTAAGACTTGACAAAGCAGATGAGACATTTATTGGCCAAATGTTAATTCTTCTACGTGCACTGTATCAGAACTCTATTTTGAGAAAATAAATGGTATATTATATGTAGTATTATATATTTATCCTTAAAATCGTACATTTATTTATATATATATTTTATAGATTTATTGACAAAGTTTGTGATGTATATTTGATGTGTTTTTATCAAATAAGCCACATCCCTTTATACTTAAAAATAGATAAAGGGTTGACTGAAAGCGACAATGACAATTGAGCCTTTATATGACTAAAAGCAATGCTCTGTAGAAGTCCATTTAATTTCATGTAATTTGAAATACTTTTTTACATTAGTCACAGCTCAAAAGTTATTTGTAATTGAGTTCCATTACAAGATAAGGGATTTTTCAGATTTTAAATTAATTCCGCTTACCCTCCGCTCTACTACTACAGTCCCACTCCACCTGGAAGGTGCACGGTGTACTGCTAACACGTACGACTTTCGCATAACGACGACAGCCACTCATTTGTCATGGACCCGGCTCATTTCGCATACAAAAAAAAAAAATTGTTTCAACAATCTGGCAATTACACACCTCACGCATCAGCCGGGGCGCAAGAGCCACCCCCACGATCCGAGCCAACCCCAAAAGCAGTGCAGACCCGACCTGAACCAGAGAGTTGTCAATTATTAAACTTTGCATTGCAAATGAAAACATATGTTTAACAAGCGGTCCAGAGGCGAGACTCCGGCCAACCGAGCATACACACACACACACACAGACGCAGGCACACCCACACACTTGCCCACACATATGCAAGCTTTCATATCCGTTTCCGGCTATCGGCATTAGCCAGCCGCCCCACCAGCTCGGCCCGGGCGGCAGTTTAGCATTGCACGTTGGAAATTAAATGTTTCTAAATGAAATTCCTCAATTGCAGTCGCCACGCTCAGACGCCGGCCGACACCGTTACAACTGTCAGACTGGGAAGCCTGGGAAGAGTGGGCTCTGGCGATAGACCCAAAAGCAATAAATCCTGGCACAGCAGCTAGAGCTACAACTACAGCAGCAGCAGGAGCAGCAGCAGGAGAAGCAACCCTTGCAATTGCTGCCCCGTTGGCAGTTGCCTTTCAAATTGCAATTAAACGTTTTACAAAACCGCGCTGACCGTTCGTCTGAGAAGCTTCAGCCAGCCACATCCCTGTGCCGAGCCCAATGTTAGCTAAACAAAGACTCCAACCCCGAGCTCGTGGCCGCAAGTCCGAGCCAAAGCCCAATCCCAATCCCAATGCCAATCCCTAGGCTAGCTTCAACTCCTGGATCAGCCCTAAACTCCAATGCAATTCACACGGCCTTCACAACTGACCAGCGTCGTGGGCTGTTGCGTTATTTCCGCTCAAGAGACGCGCCTCGTCGAGGCAACCCCACCCACAACCCACAACCCCCCACCCCATCCCCTAGATGACGGCTGCTGCTGCTGCTGCTGCTGTTGGAAGCTCTCATTGACGCCGTGCTTAATTGCGTTTGTGTTTGCGTCCGCATATTGAACGCACATTTTTGCACGTGCTGCTTGGCCCGGCACCCAGCCACCCCCCACCGCTTGCCAATGCTCTTGTTACCAGCCCCACCCAACCCTTAGCTTAGCACTAAACGGCACAATGTCTGTCCTTCAGGTTCAATTTACAATTTTTCATTGGCGTATTTAGGGGCGCGCTTTGTTCCTGCCACGTGTGAGTTGCGCATTTTTAGCGATTCGCTGCGGTTGCCAACCCATCGCCCTCCTCCCCTCTCCCCTACCTTCGCTGTATCAGCCACCACCGCGCTTCCACTAGCTCAACGCGAATAATTAAAAACTTTGCCAACTTTGCGCAAAGCGACGACATTTTTTTATACATTTTTAATAACCAAGCACTCAAAATGCAATTAAATCTTGGTCAACTTGTTGGCCCAAAGCGTCGTGTGGTTTGCCTCTGCTGTGGTGCAATTGCAGTGCAACAGCTGCAAGCATGAAATGCCACCAAATTAAAATTCCAAATGCAACAGCAAATGGTTCCACCTCCTCCCAACCTTCACTTCCTCTCCTCCTCCTCCTCCTCCATCGCCACCTGCGCACACAATGACCCAGCGGTTGGAGCAGCAAGGACATGCATTAGTTAAGAACTGCAAAAGTGGATTTTGAATTCAGATTTTACGTCGAGTAGCGCTGGTAAATGGAATTTGCGTAATGCTCGTTCATTAGTTTGCCAGTTTTCCAATAGATGAAGGCAGCTGATGCCCTGATGACAAAGTACGAGTTTAGTTTTAGAAGCACGTTTCGATACACAGAGCAAAAAGACATAGATATAGATATAGATATAGATATAGAAATAGATATAGATATAGATATAGATATAGATATAGATATAGATATAGATATAGAT